TAATCTAATCTAATCTAATCTAATCTAATCTAATCTAATCTAATCTATATGTATGTATATCTGCCTAGTTTCCCTGAAAATAAGACCCAGTCTTATATTTTTTGCCACCAAAAAAGTCACCAGGTCTTATTATCGGTGTGTGTCCCCCTTCCACTGACTCACCTTGTGGCAGGGGCACCAACAGCCCTGCCCAGCAGGAGCCTGCTGCCGGATCACTCCTGTGGCCACTTGTCCACGTTGCCCCCCCGCCCGCCTCCATTTCACTGTCAGAGGCCTTCAGGAAAGGCCTCTGCAACCAAGAAACAGGCTTCGGATTGAGGTGCATGGCTCCCCTTGGCCTTATTTCACCTGCAGAGGCGTTTTCCTGAAGGTCTCTGACTGCTAAACGGAGGTGACATGCGCAAGCAGCAGCAAGTGGCCGCAGAAGAAGTGGGACAGCAAGGCATGTATCGGGGTGTGTGAGGCCTGGTTAGTAGGGCAGCTCCACGCCCCCATCCCCACCCTAGCTTAATTTTTACCTGTGCGCCTCATCCTACCCTATGCACGCTGGAGTGGTTGAGGTCTTAACCAGGGCTTATTGGGGGGGGGGTAGGGCTTGTATTGGGTGCATGTGTAAATATCAAGCTAGGACTTACTTTTGGGGTAGGTCGTATTTTTGGGGAAACACCGTATCTATCCATCGATAGACTCGGGTTACAAGGAAACCACCTGACAACTTTGGAAATGGACAGGACATTTGGGTATCAAGGTATCACATCCTATCCTCTCCAGTGCAGAACAGGCTGTGCCAAACTAAATCGGCCTTTAACTTGGTTTAGTTTCTTGTGTGGGCAGTGCAATCTCTGCTTGTGGCTTGCTTCTTAATGAGTGGTTAGTATAAACCTTTCTGAGGTTAGCTCTGACTAATTCCCAACGGGGGAGACCTGGCCATCTCAGAATTGATTGACAACCCGTTGCTTTTGAGTGAAGATTGTCACTCGCTTGCTTGACTTTCAAACCCCACCCCACCCCGATTAGTGGTCTGTATTGATTTCTTATTGTTAACCTTCCTTATACACCTTGTTAAAGCTTTGAGGCAGATTAAACTGCTCCTCCATCCTCATGTCATGGCAAGATTTGTAGTGTCCCGTCCCCCCCACCCTCTTCGTAGATTCATTTGTCTGTAAAATTGACTCCCCTTCTGAGAAAATTACGTCTTCATTATGGATGCCTTTTAACTGGAGTTTCAGATTTTACTTTGGAAATGGATGGTATTTTCTAGGTTTAGAATCCTTCCTTCTCTGATAATTTGACAGAATAATTAGAGGTGGAAGGGACCTCGGAGGTCTTCTAGTCCAACCCCCTGCTCAAGCAGGAGACCCTACACCATTTCAGAGAATCTCTTCTTAAATACCTCCAAGTGTTGGAGCATCTACAACTTCTGGAGGCAATGAATTGTTCCACCAATAAATTGTTCTCACTATTAGGAAATTTCTCCTTAGTTCTAGGTTGCTTCTCTCCTTGATTACTTTCCATCCTTATTGCGTCTTTTCCTGCCTTCAGGTGCTTTGGAGAATAGTTTGACTCCCTCTTCTTTGGAGCAGCCCCTCAAATATTGGCAGGCTGCTATGATGTCACTCCTAGTCCTTCTCTTCATTAAACCACACAATTCCTGCAACCTTTTGAATCAGGCAGGCTTCTCATTTTTAGAAGAAGAAAATATACTGGTTTATATTCACTCAGTGTATGGCCACTTTGACAATCCACCTGCTCCAATTTTCGTTCCTTAAGTCAACTTATCTGAACCTCACCCACTTTTACAAATATTTGTTGGTATGCGGGCTGGCAGAGCCCACTTCTGATGCCAAAAAAACCCCAATTTGTATTTAACATTTCTAGCACAGTCTTATATACTCATACATTAGGCACACTAAGTTCAGAAGAAAATAGGTTTCTGGCTGGGTATAAAATATTATGGGCTTCATTGTGTATTCCAAGAGAAATCAGTTCCGTGAAATGTTACGGCTCCCTAGAAATTCACCGCCTAAAATAAGAGAAAAATTTAGCAGTGATTCATGTGGCACATGTGATGCTTTGAAAAAAAAATAATTTATTGAAAATGAACATTAAAAATATTGAACGTGGTGGATTTTCTTTGGCATACATTTCAGTTTTTACATTTTACATTAGAAAAGATCAAAACAAAATATAAACAATTATATGCATGTACATATATATATATATATATATATATATATGTGTGTGTGTGTGTGTGTGTGTGTATGTGTGTGTGTCTAGGTGTGTTCGGGTCTTTTCCCATGTAAGATTAAGAGTATCTTGGCGACATTTTGGCAAGGTCCCACTCGCCATCCTCAGGCTGGTGCTTTTGGCTTCATGCCAGTGCAAGCAGTGTGTGATCGGAGCTGCCATCTCTCTATAAATACTGCAGGGGGGATGGGGCTGGTGTGCTGGGCTGGTTGGCTGCGCTGCTGCCTCTTGATTGGTTGATGGAGTTGATGTTGGTATAATGGGCTGTGTGATGGCCTTGTGAGTTTTGTTGTGGAGATATCCTGGACAAAACTCACAAGGCCATCACACAGCCCATTATACCAACATCAACTCCATCAACCAATCAAGAGGCAGCAGCTCAGCCAACCAGCCCAGCACACCACCACCAGTATTTATAGAGAGACGGCAGAGCTGATCACACACTGCTTGCACTGGCACGAAGCCGAAAGCACCAGCCTGAGGATGGCGAGTGGGACCTCGCTGAAACGTCACCAAGATACTCTTAATCTTACACGAGAAAAGACCCGAACACACCTAGACCTACATATCTGTACCCGTGAAAATCTACGAAAACACACACACACACACATACATACATACAGTAGATACACACACACACACACACACACACACCCCCCTATACATTTAGGCTTTGTACCATTTTAGATCTTATTCTTATACCTCATTTCTATTTCGCCTTAAATTCTAGTTTCAATTTTATGAACTTCCTTTCATGTCCTTCCATCCGTAGAATTTGTTCCATACTTTATAGTATTCTAGTTTATCTTGTTCTTTCAATTCTAGTGTCAAACTATTTAATTCAGTGCATTGAAAAATCTTATCTATTATAGGATCATCATTTGGAATTTCTTTTGTTTTCAAAGTTTGGGCGAAAAGTATTCTTGCTGCTGTGATTACATGTATAGTTAGGTTAAATGTCTGCTTTGCTAGGGTTCTCTTTTATTATTCCCAATAAGAACGTCTCTAGTGTATACCCAGTTTTTAGTCCCAACATTTCCTCAAGCCATGACCAAATTTTATACCAGAACACCTGTGGGTTTTTTTAGGCCCACCACATATGGTAGAAAGTACCCTGTTCTTCTTGGCATTTCCAGCATACGGATCATTGAGTACCATACATTTTTGCTAATCTGGCTGGTGGGTGATGCCACCTATAAAACATCTTGTACAGATTTTCCTTAAAAGACATTGCTAGCATAATCTTTGTTTCGGTTACAAACAAAATTTGCTGCCATTTATCTAGGTTTATATTATGTCTGAGGTCTCTAGCCCAGATTAACATTGATTCTTCAATTTGTTCTTCATACGTTTTATGGTCAGGTAGACATTTATAAAGTTTTTTTATTTGTTTTGTCTCTGGTCCTGTTAATATTTTATCTATTGCTGTATCTTGACAGTTAATTCCACATTCTTTTTTGTCTTTTTCGTATCTAGACTGTATTTAAAGATAGGCCCACCATTCCAAATGCTTTGGAAAGTTTGAGTTTGTTACCTGTGGAAAAGCATGTCTTTTAATGCTTGCATTTTCAAGTTATTTGTTACCTAGTAAAGGGAATACATGTGGGACATGCATTTAGGGCAGATTGTAATTAGAAGGCGTGCAAAAATGTGTTTTTTTGCTCATTGCTGTTATTCTGTTTACATCGTGCCACGATGGATAACACGAGATCCTGTCCAGTTGGGACTCCCAAATTCTATTTATTTTCATTTATTTTGATAAAGGGGATGATGCCAACGCTGGTACCTCATGAAGCTGTGTGTAAGGAAGTTGCTACAGGTAGTCGTCAACTTAACAACACTTCATTTAGTGACCGTTCAAAGTTACAACGGCACTGAAAAAAGTGACTTGGGGCAGTTTTTCACAGTTACTACCATTGCATGGTTCCCTGCGATATCGCACGATCCAATTTCAGGCACTTGGCAACCGATTCACATTTATTACCATTACAGTGTCCCAAGGTCACATGATCTCCCTTTTGTGACCTCCTGATGAACAAAGTGCGTAGGGAAACTAGATTCACTTAATGTTCTGACCCAAACCTGGTTCCAAGAGAGTAAACACAAGACAAAGGCAGCAGCACAACTCTTTACCTATGAATTCTATTTCTTCACAGATAAAAGGCTGTTTCCAACTAATTAGCTCCGACAAGAAAGAGCCTTGCCAAGTTTTTGCAAGGCTGCCAAGAACAATAGATAAGAAAATAGTTTACTACACAAGAGTCTTCAAATACCAACTGTAATGTCCACGAGGCTGAGTTTCAAAACCTCTTTGCCTTCTGCAAAGAAGGTTTGTTTCACAGCTGGCTTTTATCTTCTTGAAGGAGGGGCCATTACCTTGCAGCCTTACTCCCGAATTGCCCGTGCTGTTTTAATTGCTCTTTTCTATGAGCAATCTTGTGCGCATATGCACTTGGCACAGGCTCCTCAGGAACCTCATCACTGCTGCCAGCCCCCACAATCATTCCCTAATGGTCCTGGCCCCTCATCTGAGTCTTCGCTCTCCTCAGCCATCTGCACCTGCTGCTGGCTAACCACAACACTTAACAACCATGTTACTAACTTCTCCACTGCGGCGATTCACTTGACAAACGTGGCAAGGAAGGTCTCAAAAAATGGAGCAAAACTCACTTCACAACTGCTTCACTTAGCAATGAAAAAATTTTGGGCTCAATAGCGGTTGTAAAACAAGGACCACCTGTACTGTAGATTTCTTTTTTTAAAAAAAATTATTTTTTAATCGATGTTATTTAACCTGTTTGCTTTCTTTGGCTCACTTTGTGAAGTCTTGAAATCTTTTCCCCATCTTTTTTTCAGCTTCTTCCCATTGCTACCGTATCAATTTGATAAACTTTGTCCTTTGCAGACAAAATTAGCACAGAAAGGATGCTTTTAAGAACATGTTTTCCTCTGCAGCCTAATTGACAACAGCAACATGACCCGTAAGGATCTTGAAAGGCCTGCCTTAACCCCGCCCACCTCCGTACCCCCACGATACCTGCAATCTCTCAGTTAAAAGCAAAATTAAATTTATTATGTGATAGGGAAAGAATACCATGTGGAACCCGATTGGGGAAAAAAGATATATGCATATATAATAGTAAATAGGAGATCATTGTGGTTAATATAGGATGTAGTAACTAAAAAAGGCTATATTGATATGTGTTTTTTAATTATTTTTTAATTTGTTATATATTGGGTTTAATGGAATAAAAAGGGGAGAATATATAAAATAAAAATAGGTGGCAAGATTGAATTGACAATAAAAGGGAATAAATATTGGTTAACATATTTTAGCGTTAAACTTTTTTCGGTCTGGAAAGGATGAATAAAATAGCATGAAATGATAAAACATATTAAAAGAAAAATTGAATAGGTAATGATATGATATGAAACTGGATAAGAAAGCTGAAAATGTATGTGTGTATGTTAAAACCTGGAATCACATTGTCCACTCAAAGAGATGTTTAAAGAATAAAAAAATGGATTAAAAAAAGTAAAATAATCAACAAATAAAATAAACTGACGTACAGCAGATCCTACATGGATATGGTTGGTTGCAAAACCTCCCCTTAGAAGATGCAAACTTTACAAAACATTTGTCTCTCTTATACCAAAGCTGATGAAATTCTCGTTTGAGGTTTTTGCCTGAATTCTGTAAACACTCGGCTATATCACAAAATTATTATTTTTTTGAAAACATGTCGGGCATTTCATGATAGTAACTCAAGGCTGGAAAACATTGAAGCCAGGGTACCGTTTTGTTTAGAATTTTTCTGATTCTCCTGTAACTCACCAATTAATATCTGTATTTATTTATTTATTGCTTCAGAATCTCTATCCAAAACCCAGTCAAATTCCTCCTTCTTTGATAACGCAGAAGAAACAGAAAATTAAGGTAATGTTTGAGTTGTCAGATGGAGAGATATATAGTTTTAGCTCTCTCTCTCTCTTTCTATATATATATATATATATATATATATATATATGTATGTATGTATATATATATGTGTGTATATATATATATATGTGTGTATATATATGTGTGTATATATACGTGTGTGTGTGTGTGTGTATGTGTATATATGTGTGTGTGTGTATCTTTAGTTAAAGCTTTAGAAAGAAAAGGAAAGAAATTCCTTCCTTCCTTCCTTCCTTCCTTCCTTCCTTCCTTCCTTCCTTCCTTCCTTTCAAATCTGTGCTTTCATGAGTGAAATTGTCTTGTGTTTTAACGGGTTTGGCTTCCCAGCAAAATTTCAAATAAAGTGCTTTTAAGCACAGCTTGGTATCCATAAATGGAAAAAGCCGAAAGGGAATTTGCATAATTCATGGCCCACGTTGCAAAAAAGGGAAAAAAAGAGAGAGAAGAAAGCCAATCTGTAATTCAAATAATGTTATGGTCTGTGGGATACTTTTTATCAAATGGCTTTATTGCTTCAAATGGGGATTGTAGAAATCGTCTATCCGTGTTCTGATCAGCTTATTGTATTCTACCCAGAGTCAGATATTACTAAATCCATAGGTGTAGTGAAGCATGAGACTCTGGAAGAGAAAATTAGCAGATGCAAAAGGACTGCTTACATTGCAAAGTTCCCCCTCCACAATAAATTTCAAGAATCAAAAAAGCAACTGGACACGATTATAGCATAAATCAAGATCAATTCATAAGAGTGCGCAGAGCTTTGGATTCAAAAGCAAAGTCATGCTTTGGAGTACAGAATGCAGATATAAACCCTATTCTTTTATAGAGAGCCATTTTGGTCTAGGAGTTAAGGAACCAGGCTAGAAGCTAGCCTGTGCTAGAAAGTAGGAGAATGTGAGTTCGAGTCCTACCCTAGGTGCCAGCTACTCTTTCTCAGCTCTTAAGAAGATGGTAACAGTAAACCACTTTCAAAATCTTGTCAAGAAAGTTGCAGAAACTAGCCCGGGCAATCCCAAAGAGTCAAAAACTGACTTGAAGGGACCAAATAAATAAAAGCCTTTTCTACACCTTTTCTCCAGGTGAAAGGCTTAAAAACTGTAACTGTGAGAGGGACCTTGGAGTCCTAGCAAACAATCAAACATGAGCCAGCCATGTGCAACAGCATCCAAAAAAGCTACTATAATCCTTGGCTGTGTAAACAGAGGCATAGAATCAAAACCACATGTAGTATTGGTACCATTTTATAAAGCCCTGATTTAATTTCGTGGTATAAATATATTTTATGAACCAAACCGACCAATTTTAGTCACCCTACTACAAAAAAAGATGTGGAGACCTTGGAAAAAGTTCAAAGAAGAGACAACTAAAATGATCAAAGGCCTTGTGATGCATGACACAAAAATAACAAAAGTCACCAAAGTAGAATAAATTCCCTTTAATGCCTCTAACTTGGCCCCCCATGTCCAGTTATCCTTGGCTGGAGATCAGACTCTTCCAAAAACAGTCTACAAAGGGAAGAAATGCAGTCCGAACTCAAAGTACAATAAATTAGAAGTAAAAAAACCCAACACAAACCATGTTGAAATAAATTATAACACAACAGTCCAGGATAATAAATTGCAGACTTCCAAAGGATAATGAAACACACACAGTTGGGAGAACACCAAAACCCAGATAAGGCTCGACAAAGATAATGCACGCTTTGCTTCCAGCAAGGTGCTGGGTGCAAACGCCCTTCTTATATCCTGTTCTCCCAGCTGCAACTAATGAAAGGGATCAGGGCCCTTTTCTCTCCCATAAGCCACATTGCTCCCTTTTCCGTTCATCCTTGCCTGCCCTAGGATGAAGAGAGGGTGGCCCTGGGTCTTCCTCTGAATGCCCAGCTGGACAGTGCCCTTCCCCTGTCTCTTCCACAGCCACCAGAGCCACACTCCCACTCCTTGTCAGCTGCTCAATCTCCCCCTCAGAATCAGACTCCAACAAGGGCATGTCAGGCCTGGAAACTAAAACATATGGAGAACGGCTGCAGGATTTGGGCTTGGCTAGTCTAAAAGAAGAATTGGAGTGACATGATATTCCAATATTTGAGGGGCTGCCGCAAAGAAGAGAGGGTCAAATTATCCTACAAAGCACCAGAGGGCAGGACAAGAAACAATGGTTGGAAACTAATCAAAGAAAGAAGCAAACTGGAATTAAGGAGAAACTTCCTAACAGTGAGGACAATTAACCAGTGGAACAGTTTGCCTCCAGAAAACCCGGCGCTCCATCACTGGAGGCTTTTAAGAAGAAACTAGACAGCCACTTATTTGAAATGGTATAGGTCAGTGGTGGCTAACCTTTTTCGGCTGCCATGCCAATAACTGCACGCGCTCACATACCAGCACCCAGAAGGCAATATGTGCTGCCCCCTCCCCACGCCCCCTGCGCATGCGTGCGCAACCCCTTCGCACGCCATGAGTCTTTGCACACACGCACAATTCCCCTCGTGCACAGCGAGTGTCCGCATGCATACGCGTCTCCCGCGCACCCACCACACCCCCTGTGCATGCGTGCCAGGTACTCAACAATCAGTTGTCGGGCGGTGGCACGCGCATGTGCAGTGAGGCTCTTCTGGGCGACCTCTCATGTGCTGGGGGAAATGGCTCTGCGTGCTACTTCCGGCACGCGTGGCATAGGTTCACCAACATGGGTATAGGTTCTCCTGCTTGAGCAGAGGGCTGGACTAGAAGACCTCCAAGGTCCCTTCCAGCTTCTATTCTACTCTACTTTCTATTTTCTATTCTATTCTATTCTATTCCATTTTCTATTCTATTTTTTCTTTTCTTTATTCTGTTTTCTATTCTACTCTCTATTCTATTTTCTATTCTATTCTAATCTATATTTTCTAATCTATTCTATTTTTTCTATTCTCTAGTCTATTCTCCATTCTAGTCCATTCCATTCTGTTCTATTCTACTCTATTCTCTATTCTATTTTCTATTCTAATCTAATCGCTAATGCTGATCTTCTGCTATTTAGGGGAAGACAGAGATTAGACAGAGCTAAAATCTTGAAACCTCAAGCGACAGTTTGTGGGCTTCGCCTCAGCCTTGCTCCGTTTCACATGTTATTGTATGACCCGGTTTTCACCCGCTATGCTCAAGACGAATGTTTTGTGATTTTTGTCTCACTCAGTGACGCTCCTGCCAAGGCCGTGTCTATGTGAAGGAAGGAGTTGAAGGATCTACTGAAGATGAGACGACTGAATCGGAAGAAGACCTTGAATTTAGTGAAAGAATTGGACGCTTTCCCAAAGGTTCCAGAAAGCTACATCGAGACTTCAGCAAGCGGAGGAACAGGTAAACCCTGGCTGACAGTTTGCGCTGTGGGGATTCATGTAGTCCTCGACTTACGATGTTTTGTTTAGCGACCGTTCGGCACGGGGGAAAAAGTGACTTAGGGCCGTTTTTCACACATACGACTGTTGCAGTGTTCCCACGGTCACGTTATCAAAATTTCAAATGCTTGGCAACGGACTCCTATTTATGACAGTCTCAGCGTCCCGGGGTGTGTGTGAGGAGGCAGCACGCATTGCCTTCTTGGTGCTGGCACACAAGCGCGCGCAAATGAGTGCGCGCGCAATTGTTGGCATGGGAGCAGAAAAAGGTTAGCCACCATTGGTATAGCTTCTCCCAGTCAATGCCATTTTTGACCTCATTGTGGTGTTCTTTTTTCCCCAGTTTCTCTTATAGCTTTTACAACGATGGCTCTTTTAACCATAATGGAATTTACAGTCTATCGAGACACCTGGATGAAATATGAGTATGAAGTGGACAAGGATTATACCAGGTAAGGCTTTCCCCTGGATTACCTTTTTAAAAAAAACGTATATTGATTGTATGTGAATTTAATTTGTTGTTCTTTTAAAACAAGCTTGATACCTTTAAGGGCCACGGTTTCAAAATTCTTCCATTAATTCTTCAAGAGCCTGATAACAGGAACACCAGGTGGTTATGAAAAACAAAAACAAAATTATTACCTGTCTTCTGGGACATAAGGAAGAAACATGCTTTGCTACACCTTAGAAGGGGAGGTAAGGTTGATCCAAATAGATTTGTTTAGGAGCAAAGCTGTTAAGAGAGGATATTGCCACACAGTCAAGCTGCTTAAAATCGAGAAAACTCGATTATCCCAGAAGCTCATTAGAAAGATTTAGTGAAAGGAAAAGGGGTTAGTTTTCTGTACCTCAGAACTCTGTGTGTGTGTGTGTGTGTGTGTGTGTGTGTGTGTGTATGATATACATATCATACATATATATATAATTTAACCTCCTATTAGTATAGTAAGGCAAGTCCTCTCTGATGTCACTTTAATTTAATTTTATTATTTATTATTTATTTTATGATTTTAATCCCGCCTTTATTATTTTTACAAATAACTCAAGGCACGGAACATGCCCAGTCCATCTTCCTTCTCCTAATTTCCCCCACAACAACCCTGTGAGGTGAGTTGGGCTGAGTGGGAGACTGACCCAAGGTCGCCCGGCTGGTTTTCATGGCTAAGGTGGGACTAGAACTCACAATTTCCTGGTGATTGGCCCAAAATCACCCACTCAGCTTTCATGACTTGGCAGAACTAGAACTCACCATCTCCCATTTTCAAGCCTGGCGCCTTAATCCTTAAACCAAACTAGTTCTCTTTCTAAGATCTCCCTCTCTTGATTTAAGAGGAGGCCGCAGCCCTTTCTGAAGATACAGACTCCATCTGTTCTTTGACAGTGTTTTGGAAACACTCCTTCCTATTCTTGGGCTCGTTTCGTCAGGTCTGCTGAAATCCATTCAAATTCTACCTTGGTATTATGGGAGCAACTGGTATTTCGCTGGAATGCTCTTTGATTTCTGGGGAGGGAGGATATTTAGGGCCTAATAGAGAATATAAAATATAAAATACAATAATAGAATAGAAAGAATATAATAGAGGCTATAAAATATGGAATGGAATAGAATTACAGAATAGAAAATGGAATGAAAAAGAAAGAATATAAAATATGGAATAAAATAGAATAAAATACTTTATTGTCACTTTGAATGTACACTAGTCGGCATACATTAAAATGAAATTGCGTTTCATGCAGCTCTCAAAAGAGTCTCCACCTCTAATATATACATAAACGTGACAAGATTATCTAACCCCAGTGGCTTTTGGCCCCCAAATTTATTTTTATATTCACCTTGAGAACTTTCTGTATTAAGCAGTGAATCCTACTCCAATATTTCTTATGCCCATTTTTCAAGCTGGGAGTTTACATGCATTTCTTGGTCTCCCGCTGATGTGCTGTACATGTGCCTTTGGGGCACCGAAAACATTTTGCATCTCTGCTGGAAGCTGATGTGATTTTTTTTTTAAAACACTTTTGGAAATAATAGTTGTTTCTTTGGATTCTTTGTGTTGTTGTCATGGAGATAAATAAGCAATTTCTGCCTCAACCTGAAACCTATAGGCAGCGCTTACAAATTTCAAGATATAACAATCGTGGGTAAGAATTCCCAGGGAAAAGCATTATTTTTACTGAGTTGTCTCTTCTCCACCTTCAGTTAAACATGATTATGCTGCTCTCATCCCCATGTTGCACCAGAGTTCATAAATGTTTTGATTCACGTTCTTTGAACACTCCAGTGTTTGTTCAGTAAAACACAGCATGGCATCACACAATTATTTTATCAGTGTTGCTTCCAAAAAGAAAAAGCACAGCATGTCTCTATCTGTTGTGGTTAGCTGGCAGCAGGTGCAGATGGCTGAGGAGAGCGAGGACTCAGATGCTGGGCCAGGACCATTAGGGAGTGGTCTGCTGCCTTCAGAGATTGTGGGGGCTGGCAGCAGTGATGAGGTTCCCGAGGAGCCTGTGCCAAGTGTGTGTGCACGCAGGATTGCTCGTAGGAAGGAGCAGTTACGACAGCATGGGTGACGGGAGTAAGACTGCAAGGTAATGGCCCCTGCTTCAAGAAGATAAAAGCCAGCTGTGAAACAAACATACTTTGCAGAAGGCAAAGACGTTTTGAAACTTCAGCCTCGTGGACATTCCAGTATCCTGAGTTTGTTATTTGAAGATTCTTGTATTGCAAATTATTTCTTGTCTGTTATCTTTTGGCACAGTTTGGCAAGGCTTGTGCTTATCGCAGCTAATTATTTTGCAGAAGCATTACAAGGTTTCTGTTCCCTTTGGATTGTGTTTGATTTGTTGGAAAAGGGCGTGGGTCAGAACACTATCACAATCATATCTCGCTTTAGACCAGGGTTGTCTTAAGAGTTGGTTAAGAGTTTTGGACTTCAACAAAGGCTTGTGGGATTCTGGAAGTTGAAGTCCACAAGTATTCTTAAGATTGGACAACTTTCTTTAGACTAAAAAGCAGTACTTGAGACATGATGCTTCCGACAAGGTTTCTTCAGACAGTCAGTTCTCTGTTCTCAACAACAACAACAAAAATAGAATTCAAGGCAGATTTTTATTGTCGAGTTGTAGATGGAAATGTAAGGTGGGTTCCTTACTTTACTTAGAATAGTGCATCCAGTTTTGGTCGCCACAATATAAAAAAGATGTTGAGACTCTAGAAAGAGTGCAGAGAAGAGCAACCAAGATGATTAGGGGACTGGGGGCTAAAACATACGAAGAATGGTTGCAGGAATTGGGTGTGTCTAGTTTAATGAAAAGAAGGACCAGGGGTGACATGATAGCAGTCTTCTAATATTTGAGAGGCTGCCCCAAAGAAGAGGGGATCAAGCTATTCTCCAAAGCCCCTGAAGGCAGGAGAGGACGCAATAGATGGAAACTAACCAAGGGGAGAAGTAACCTAGAACTAAGAAATTTCCTGACAGAACAATTCAGTGTTCAAACAAATCAGTGGAACCACTTGTCTCCAGTGGTTGTAAATATGGTCCAACACTGGAGGTTTTAAAGAAGAGATTGGGCAACGCTTCGTTTGAAATGGCGTAGGGTTTCCTGCCTATAACTAGAAAACCTCCAAGGTCCCTTTCAACTCTTATTCTATTCTATTCTTTATTTTTCTCTCTCTGAATACAAGCAGAAGTCCAACAGGCGAAGTGGTTCACACTCAAGTCCCAGATCGAGGCTCTTAACAAGGTTGGCTTCTGACGTAATTGGCCTCTGAGGAGAAGGCTTGATGCTCTGTAATTAATCTAATTAAACCCCAACCTGTTGCTTTCCAGGTGTTAGTTCTCCTCGGTGGCACCTCTTCAAAAGTGGTTGGGGAATAGCAAAGATTTATAAAAGATTTGGGATCCAGTTTCTCTAAAAGAAAGCAGTCGAGATTGTTCCATGCATAGCAAGATAAAAATGACATGTTGGATGATAGTAGTTGAAACATCACATTTCCAATTTTCCATATTTTGAAGAATGGGGAGTAATGGAGAGTTTTCACATTGCGGTGCAAGCTTCCATTATAGTTGCCACCTAATATGATGCCTTTTTAAAAAGTTGGTATTGCTTAATCTTGGCAGCTTCAAGTTGTGTGGACTTCAACTCCCAGAATTCCCCAGCCAGCAATGCACCCATTTTTTTTAAAAAAAAATATTTATTTGTAATTTTCTTTTAACAGCCATACATATTTTGTGGACAGTGCATTGTCTGGGTCAATATACTTTTTACACAATGCTAACAATAATAGTACAATAATCCTGAGCTTAGATGGATTAATCCTAATGCTATGAGAGAAAGAGGAGTCTGAATATTATAGAATTTGGGAAAAATGGTTTGATTGGATTGAATTAAGACAAATGGACGACAGAAGAATTAATGATAAGCAATTTACAGATTAAAAGATTATATTCGCACAAATTGTATATATTTGTAAATAAGCACAAAATAGAAGTATATGTAATAGATGTCTAACACTGTTAATGTCATAATATGTATATTTTTTGTTCGGTTTTTAAAGACATAAAAGATCAATAAAGTTTATTAAAAAAAACATTGACCAGTTACATAAAATGGAAAAAATAAAAAAGAATAAAGAAAAAAAAGATATACATAATCCTAGTCTTCCATTTTCTAACCTTAACATGCACATTGTAATTATAGTAAATTCTATTATACATCAGGGTGTGTAATACTATTTTCCCAATTTGTACTTTCCATCTTTCCCCCGCACCCCCTTTAATTTTTAATACAGTCACCATTTGGAAAAGTATTTTGTTTCTCTCCATCATCTCTTGTTCTTTTTAAAAAATTTCAGCAGTTCTATTTACTTTTTGGTAGCTCTTTCATTGATTTGTCTCCACCACCGCTCCTAAATCATAAGGAGGTAAAGGTATTGTTTAAAAACAAAGGTGTGAGTGTAGAACAGAGGCTCCAAAACTTGGCAACTTTAGGACTTGTGGACTTCAAAGCTGGCTGAGGAATTCTGGGAGTTGAAGTCCACAAGTCTTAAAGTTGCCAAGTTGGGAGACCTCTGGTGTAGAAGAACCCCAACAAATGGCAGAAAAAGATGAACAAACATACTCAGAAAATAGATGAGAAACCAGAAGGAGCAATGAAGGCATCTTTCAGAATCTGCTTTCATCTTTCTTCCTTAGACTTTCAGTTCCTCCTGCCCTGATGTCAAATGTCAAGCAGTGGTGGCTTTAAATGTTTATGAAAAATTGTACAGGCAGTCCTTGACTTCTAATGGTTTGCTTAGTGACCGGTCGAAGTTAGAGTGGCATGGGGGGAAAAAAGAAGATTTTGACCGTTTTTCCTCACTTAATGACCGTTGCAGTGGTCAGGTAATCAAAATACAGGGCATGGTTCCTATTTATGACGGTCGCAGTGTCCAGTGATCAAGTTTTGCTTCTGACAAGCAAAGTCAATGGGGAAGCCGGATTTGCTTAGCAAATTTACTAATTTAATGGTGGTGTTAAATTTAACAGTGGCAAGAAAGGTCATAAAATGAGGGCAAAATTCACTTAACAGCATAAATTTTGGGTTCCATTGTGGCCTTATGTGCAGGACTGTCTCACACATCAGGACAAAGAAGAATTGACACTATGGCACTCTGATGAAATTAACATAATTGTATTTTCCCCTTTTCTAGTAAATTAAGAATGAATATAGACATCACAGTTGCAATGAAGTGTCAACGTAAGTATTTTCATTCAATCTTTGTTTTACTACAGCAGTTATTCAGGCTAGACCGGTGATGTCGATCCTTTTCGTTTTGTGCCGAAAACGCGCGCGCATGTGCCAGCACCCACATGCAATGCACCCCATTCCCCTGCGTATGCGCGTGCTTCCCAGCTGAATTTTGGCCCGTTTGAGGCTTCTTTCGCCTTCCCAGAGGCTCGAGGAAAGCCTCTGCAGCCTCGGGAGGCTGAAAAACGGGCCTGTTTCGGCACTTCCGTTTTTTGCCCTCCAAAGGCTGCAGAGGCTTCTCTCGAGCCCGCCGGAGGGTGAAAATGGCCTCTTCCGGGCTCCAGAGGCCAGCCAGAGGCTGAAAACGAGCCTCTGGAGGGCCTCTGGAGTCCGGGGGAGGCTGTTTTCGCCCTCCTGGAGGCTCGAGAGAAGCCTCTGGGGGCTGAAAACGGGGCCATTTCGGCACTTCCAGTATTTTCAGAAGGCCCATTTTTCGGCCTCCTGAGGCTGCAGAGGCTTCCCTCGAGCCTCCAGGAGGGCGAAAACAGTGTCAAACAGGCCAAAAATTAGTTGGGAGGCGCGTGCATGCGCAGTGCAGGTAAGTTTGGCTGGGGCTCGCATGCCCGTACAAATGGCTCTGCGTGCCATCTGTGGCATGCATACCATAGGTTCACCATCATGGGGCTAGACTGACATATTATGAAATCAGGATCGAAATCAGATAATGCTAGGTCGAGATTCCTCTCTTCAAGCTTCGACAAGATCTATTATTGAAAGTAGATCCCTGATGACTTTCCCTATATTTTCTTAATGCTGTCATTATTATGATATCTATTTTAAAGCTAGAAACGAGACTTTTGAAATGGCTACCTTCTTTTTTTAAAAAAAAATCACATTGGCTAGTACAAAAAAGAAGAAAAAAAGAGAAGCCAGATGCAAATTGGAGCTAATATTCAGCGAAATGCTTTGAAATGATGGCATCCATTAGTCTCAGCCAATCCTTTTACCAACTAATAATGCATCTTGAATTACCATTATTTACAGTACTTATAATCAGGGTTTTAATCAACAGGAGAACTTGTTTCTGGGGCCCAAAGAAGCCACAATATTTCTGTAGTCCTCACTGAGAAGAAAGCAGGATTTGTAAATTCCTTCTATTTTTTGAGATGACTGCAGTTGGTGGGCTCAAAACGTACAAGTTTCTCAGTTTTCTACCTGTAAATTTGTTAAAGAAATAAAATGTATTGTAATGATTTGAGGATTCCATTAAAGGAACAGGTGGATCCACATTTCGTTTAACGACGGACGTTTGGAAAAGAAACAGTTTATATAACCCTTTGCAAATTCTTTCCTTTTCAACTTTTTGAAACAGATATTGGTGCTGACGTCCTGGATTTGGCAGAAACAATGGTTGCTACTGCAGATGGATTGGTCTATGAACCAGTAAGTGGGAGTTTCGTTGTTTTTTTGGTCAAAGGTTCAGTGACACCTGCTGCTTCCCAAGATCATGAAGCCGACTCCTCGTTCCGATTTAAACCCCTTTTATTTAGGTTAAAGGGAATTCCTCTCCAGCAAAGACCCGGACAACAGTCTTTCAAGAGATTTCACAACGACAGACCTTTATCAGTCTGGGAGAACTGCCAGGCCGATATCTTCCAAATGCCACACTGTAGCAGCAATTACTTGGCAAGAAGTCAAGAAGAGATCTTCACCCTAATGAATTGAACTAATTGTCTCCTGCAAACACCCCTCCCCTTTCTCTCCTCTTTATTCCCTATGGGAGGGGCCAGTCACCATCCACCTGTGTCCTTACTCCCGAGTCGACCCTTGTTCCTTAACTGTTCCCTTCTCCTGGCAGCTCTGTGCATGCGCACACTGGTAACAGGCTCCAGCTGTTCTTCTGTCCCACTGATCTCCGACTCCAAAGGCAGCTGATAACTGTCAGGTGGCTCTGGCCCCATCTCTGCCCCCGACGCAGAGCCTCGAAAGAGCTTTCCCCAGACTCCAGGACTGGCCCATGTTCTCCACCAGCCTCCTCACTGTGGCTGCTGGTGGGCCACAACATCTGGCTTGTTATGCATTCCAGGGGTGAAACTATTCACCCCATGATAACTCTTGATTTTACTGAGCTTGGCTTGGGTATCCACGGTCACAGAAAATATGACCAGAGTTGACATCCACCCTCAGGATAGCCATGCCATGCCCTGCAGAACCGTGAACCACACGGTCTTCTCTAGTGAGAATGGCAAGCAGAAGATGGATTTCCATTCCAAAAAAAAACCCTTACTCTCCAAATGTCAACTCGACTTATGGCCAGAATTGAGCCCAAAAGTTCCATTGCTGAGCACAGTGGTTGCTAAGTGAGTTTTGTTCCCTTTTCACCATTGTCTCTAAGCGAATCACTGCAGTTGTTAAGCGAACCATGCAGCCACTAAGCATGTCTGGCTTCCCCCATTGACTTCGCTCGTTGAACACCCGCTGTGAAGGTTACAAAAAGTGAAAACCTGAGCCTGTGAAACCGTCATAAATACCTGCCAGTTGCCAAAGATTATTTTTGTTGTTATGTGCCTTCGAGTCAGTTTTGGTTCCTGGCAACTGCCTGGTCCAGGCCCTGCAGTTTTCTTGACAAGGTCTTTCAGAAGTGGTTTGCCATTGCATTCTTCCTAGGGCTGAGGGGGAGTGGTTGGCCTACTGTTCCCATTTTCTAGCCCAGTTCCTTAACCACATATCAGACTGATTACCTTGCTGGATTATTGTTTGGTGCAGCTTTCTTAGGCTCACAATTTTTTTCAGAAACAAACTAAAGATAGTTTATGTCTTAACTTTGATTGTTGTTGTTTTTGTTTTGTTTTAGGTGATATTTGAACTCAGTCCCATGCAAAGAGAGTGGCAAAGGTAACAGTTCAGTAATTATAATCATCATAATTCATGTCCATCCAAGGCCATCTTAGTTCAACGTTAAATTGACTAAGGACTTAAATAATTTCAGTGGTGGGTTGTAGCTCGGCAGCAAGGGTCTTCAAACTTGGCAAGTTTAAGACTTGTGGACTTCAACTCCCAGAATTCCTGAGCTAACATGACTGGAAAAGGAATTCTGGGAGCTGAAGTCCCCAAGTTTTAAAGCTGTCAAGTTTGAAGACCCTGTTCTGCAGGATTCACTATTAATGTTGCTTTATTGTGCACATGTTTCACTATTGTTAGAAGTGCTGCTGTAGGACAGGGAATGGCAGAGCTTGTGGGTGGACTGAAAAGAGGCATCAGCCTAGAATCCCTACATAGCCACAAGAGAACTAAGTCCAATCTCCCTTGAATACCATTGACGGTTATCTAACCGTTGTCTACCGCTGATGGTTATCTAACTCTAAGCAGGTTGAGAAGATTTGTTGATTAGTTGAGAAAATTCTTGTGCAATTCTTGGCTTTTAGCAATAGACCACTTTAATTAAACCTTCATATATAGACCTGGTTTTTCATGCCTGATAGAATTCTTTATTGGCCAAGTGTGATTGGATGCACAAGGAATTTGTCTCTGGTGCAGAAGCTCTCAGTGTACATACAAGCAACCAAGTGATAAATCACGATAATTTATCATAAAAATAAAGGTTCCCCTCGCACATATGTGCTAGTTGTTTCTGGCTAAGGGGGCGGTGCTTATCTTCGGTACAAAGCCGAAGAAGAGCCAGCGCTGTCCGAAGACGTCTCCGTGGTCATGTGGCTGGCATGAGTAAACACCCAAAGGCACACAGAACGCTGTTACCTTCCCACCAAAGGTGGTCCCTATTTTTCTACTTGCATTTTTTTTTTGCGTGCTTTCGAACTGCTAGGTTGGCAGAAAGCTGGGACAAGTGATGGGAGCTCACTCCATTACGCTGTGCTAGGGATTCGAACCGACAAACTGCCGACCTTTCTGATCGACAAGCTCAGTGTCTTAGCCACTGAGCCACCGTGTCCCCTATCATAAAAATACATTCATCATAAATCATAAGATGCAACACTCAATGATAGTCATTGGATACCAAATAAGCAGTCGACATCAACTATACTAGGATATTACAATATAATAAAACAATATAAATTGTAAAATGCAAGCAACAATGTTACAGTCATAAGAAGATAAAGAAATCGGTAGTAGGAAAGATGAGAAGGATATTAATATAGCCCTACTAAGCAGTTTGATAGTGTTGAGAGAATTAGTTGTTTAGTAGAATGATGGCATGGGGGAAATACACATACGCGTATATAACTAATTATATAATATAAATAACTATAATGTATTCTAGATAGGTAGGTAGATATAGAAAAGATAGATGATAGATTGATAGATAGTTAAATAATGATAGTTAAATAGATATAGATAGATTGATTGATTGATCGATAGAATAGAATAGATTGATATAGATATGATAGCTGAATCTTTGTCTTTTGCTTTACTTCTAGGATACTACAAAATATTCAGGCCCGGCTGCAGGAAGAACACTCTCTCCAAGACATAATATTCAAAAGTGCTTTTAAAAGTGCTTCAACGGCACTTCCGCCAAGGTGAGACAGTAGCTTCAGGGTCTCCTCACCTTGGGGGAATGGGGGGTGAGAAACCATGAAAAAGAACTAACGTAATCTAAAACATGCCAATTCAGAGATGAAAGCCATGACTTTAGCCATATTAGAATCAATGTGCTAAGCCATTTCTCAGTAAGGAAGTTTTTAATACACAAAGTGATAAAAGAAAAATAAACCCCAAAGAAGTTGTGGATACTCCAACACAGGAGATTGTTAAGAAGAGATTGCACAGTCCCTTGTCTGGAATGGCATAAGGTTCAGAGGTTGGCAACCCGAGGCTCTAGAGCTGCATGTGGCTCTTTCCCCCCTCTGCTGTGACTCAGTCGCTCAAAATGTGCGTCACAACCACCAATGTGTGTGACATCCGCCGGCATGCGCTTTCTTTAGTTTTCTGACCCCCCCGGTAGGCCAACCACAGATAAATCCAAGAAAAGAAAAGTGTCAGAAGAAAACAAAAACGTTTAACCTGAATGGTACGAGACTGTTCTGACCCAGGCTTCATCAATCATAATTAATCACAAACTTGTTTTAAAAGCAAAACCTATTTTATTGCAATGCTGGGAATTGTTTCCATTCCCAGCCGGAGCTAATCTTAAACAGTCCCCCAAGATAAGCGCTCACCTTTCAATGCTGTGGAATGCTGCCAAAAACAGAAGTATCCAATTAATTATAAAAGAAACCAAAGTACAAGAAAAAAAAACAACCAAACTGCACAGAGCTTGAGGATGATTAGGAACCGATCGAACTACTTTGCTTCCTACAAAGGTTTTGTCATCTTGGCCTGACTTTTATCCCTTATGGGAGCGGCAATCACCTCCCAGCCTTACTCCCGAGTCACCCCTTCTGTTTCAGCGGCTCTCGCCTTCTAGCAGCTCTGGGCACACATGCACTGGGAACAGGCTCCCTTTGTTCCTCTTCCTCGCTGCTGCCAAACTCCAGAGGCTCCAGAGTTGGCACACCACTCCCAGATAGTCCTGGCCCCATCTCTGCATCGGACGCAGGACCCCCACCCGAGTCCTCTCTAGACTCCCTGACTGGTCCCTGTTCTTCCTCACTGTCCGATTCCACTGCCGTCTGCACCAGCTGCCGGCGAACCACAACAGAGACTGGTTTACCAGTATGATTAATATGTGGTGAGAAATTGGCAAACATGCGGTGTTATCTTCATTTTAGATGTCAAAAAGGGTTTTGTGGCTCCCTGTGTTTTCTTTTCTGTGGGAAATGGGTCCAAATGGCTCTATGAGTGCTTCAGTTTGCCGACCACCTGGTATAGGTTCTCCTGCTAGAGTAGAGGGGGTTGGACTAGAAGACCTCCAAAGTCCCTTCCAATCCTGTTATTCTATCTCCTGTCTTCTAAGACATACCAGTATGTCTCCTAATTTTTCCTCAATTTGCGAGCTTGCATCTACTTCCGTGGTCATTGGGGATCATTACATTAGAATTTGCCTAAGAGCAATATGTAATTTGTATTTTGCAAGGCTTTGTAAAATGCAAAGTGCTACTTTTTAAGAATTGCATTTCTTTTCTTTTTTAAAAAAAATCTGCGCAGGGAAGACAATCCCGTACATTCGGCTGATGCCTGCAGAATTCACGGGCACCTCTATGTGAATAAAGTAGCAGGGAACTTTCACGTTACAGTGGGCAAGTATGTTCATTTCATTTCCTGAAACGCTATAAACCAGCATTTGCAACTTT